ATACTAATCCTGCTTCTGCATGTAGAGTGAACATGCTGAAAGCGAGTGTGACAGCTGGAAGGTTGTCAAGCAAAGGCTCACTAAACTACTTTAATCCTCTAGATCCATTGTCTTTACTCCTGACCAGCGTACACTCTTTGGAAAATCAACTGGACTACCCCAGACTTCATCAGACCGCACGGACTGAAGCAAGGACCTGGTGTGTGTTTATCTTCAATCAAACATGGCTGTACGGCATCCGTGACACAGACATCCAGCTACAGGTCGAACACCATTTACGTGTATCCAGATTCAGATAAAAAGTCTCATTGCACTTGAACGAGACCTGGCCAGTAGCCCATACAGGAGCACGGCAACACTGGGCGAGACGTGTAAGAGCACACTGTGGACCATGTCCAGGGAAGCAGCCACTGGCACAGCTGCCTGGAGGAATGTGACAGGGAAGAATAAGGAAGTCCATCAGAGACATAATTGTAGTCTATCCGAGGTCCGTACCCTCCACAGAGCAAAGTGTGCTGTCCTCCAGTAAGGACACCAAGGGTCTGTGAGATCTCACTCTCCCACTTTCCCAGTGACGTAAAAGTCAACGGTTAATTTCCTTAATGACTATCCCCCCTAGTCCTGGTCATGGGACGTACTACTACTAATGACACCTTCTCCTACACTTGCACTCCACCTTATCAAAATTGTCAAATAAGGACACATGCATCAGATTGCCTTGAATCACTTCCAGTTCAGCATTTAATACAATCATCCCCCAACAGCGAATGAGTCTTGATGTGAGGCTTCAACATCCCAATGAGTCATTGGATTCTAGACATCCTCACAGAGGCCTCAGTCAGTGCTCGCTGGCAGCAGAACCTCAGACACGACTATGATAAACGCAGGAGCCCTGACAGCCCTCCGCTGTCCGTGCTGCTCATCCATGAAAGCACATCTGAATCCAACCTCCTGGTACAGAGGGCTGAGGACAGAACTGTAGTGGGCCTCATCAGAAACCCAATGAAGCCCTTTACAGAGGGAGGTGATACAGTAACAGTCTGTCTCTTAATGCAGACCACACCAAGGAAACTGTAACAGACTGGCCACCCTGCCTGCTCATCAGGGGCTCTGAAGAGTCAAAGGCACCAAGTTCTTTAGTGTGCTCCTCTCTGATGGTCTGCCAGCACTAGTTCTGTCGTAAGAAGACGCAGTAGTGCAGCTCTTCTTGTGGAAAACAAACTTCTTGTGGATGCACCGTCTACATCACTGTGTACTTTGGGAGCTGCACAGTGCAGTCCAGGTGAGATCAGCTGAGAGGATTATGGGGGTCCCCCACCCCTGCCAATGCATCACAGAGCCAGTGCTGTTTTGAAGGACTCCGCCCACTCCACACACAGCGTGTTTGACCCTCTGCCATCAGACCTTGATCTATACAGAGCAGTATTCCATTCAGCTGCAGAGACTGTATAATGAAAATAATATTCACTTGACCTGACTCTATATTTATAGTCTTTCCTGTAAGAAATGACTGATCAAATATGCAGATTCATGTTGTCTGAGGTGAATCGGAGGTAAGGTTAGAAGTCAGCTACTGTAAAGGACAATCATTCATTGATAATAACTGTCTGATGATGCAGCTTCAGAGTTTAATCACCTGTGGAAGGCTTCACGTCAGGTGTCTCAGTGGACAGTATACAAAGTTAGCACAAAGAGCAAATAGTTTGACTGTGTAGATACGTGGAATAAAAAACCATTTCTCTGAGTCAGAAATCATTAATCCATTGCAGTCCCGGCTCACTGGCTCCTTAAAGTAAGGACTAAGGTGCACCTGTTTAAATTTTAATATGACCTATCTGTTCTGGACATCAGCCAGCTGGAGTAAAGTAGAATGTGATATTTCCACACATTTTCAGTCAATAATCTGGGTTAGGAGTTAGGGTTTTTTCTTTTTGAAATGTATTACAGACAAGATTTTTTAATGTCCAACATCTATACTGATACCACAAAATGTAGTATGTGATAATACAGTTACAATCTGATACTGTTACTGTTTCATTTATTGGCAACATTCTTCAAACGTCGTCTCTGTTTCTTTGTGTGAGCACAGTTGGGAAAAAATATTGCAACAAAATATCATCAGTATTGTTTATTGTGCATTGAATACATTCAGGCACTCTGAGTGTTTGACCTGCTAGCATTTTGGTAAGTTTTAGTGGGGGAACCAAGCCCCCCCTCACCTGTTTACCCCACAACATTCAAGTTTATGAACTAATTATTTTTGTAGTAAAACGGGCGTATTATTATTATTCAGGACAGAAGGCTCAGACCAGTGTGACGTATCGTTGGTTGACTGATTAATACTATCCTGGGATACCAGTAAAAGCACGGTTATCTCTCATGCTGCGGGCCTGGAGATCAATGACGGGTCACAGAGCTGGGTCGCATTCTCAGTTAGAGACTTGACCGAGTCCCGTAGCGAGGCGTTGTCAGCAGCGAGTGTTTCCACCTGCTGCTGGCTGAGTTCCAGGGATTCCCTCAGGGATTGAAATTCCTGGTGAAATTAAAAGTTACAAACATAATGTGATGCATTCGAAATGACACTCTTGTGTGTCCCAGCTTATGACACATGTTTGCTACAGGTCGCTCTGTCATGGTCCTGGGTCATTGATCAAGTAATTTGAATTTCTGGTCTGCTTCTTTTGTAATATCAGTAACGTGCTAATGTTCTTTGTCTGTTCGTAGCCTTTTTGTATTACCATTTGTCTTCTTTTGTAAACCCTTTCTGTCTTTGTAGTTGTGTCCCGTTGTCAGTTTGGTCCCTCTGTGTTTCATCCTTTGTCTCCCCGTCAGTCACGTCTCCGTGTCCATTTATCTCCAGTCCCTGAGTGAAGTTCACATCTCTCAGGTCTCAGTGTGTGTGTTACTTCCTGTTTTATTTTGGACTGTCCCTCGTCTTGTTTGTGCTGTGCAGCTTCTGTCCTAATGCTGTCTGCGTCTCCCTCTGTTTGTTGTTGCCTCCGTCTGTCTGTTTGACATGTATTTTGCTCCTGCTCTGTATTTTTATTGTTCTGTTTGCTCCACCTGTTGTTATAGTTTCGACTTTACTTCTAATACTTTTTGTCTCGTAGCAGGTCCAGTGATTTCCACTGATGTACTAACCATGGGACCAGCTTACTTTCTGTATATTTTAAGTGAAACATGGAAGTGTGCAGCAAAATGTTCTGAAATATTTTCAAATAAGTGCAAACTAAATGTTAACGTTACAGTAATTTTCTGCCTTGTCTCTGCTCGTCTTTTCATAGTTTGACATGCCATTTTTATGTCTTGCTTTCTGACACAAAACAAATTTAAAAACACGTAAATCCCAGTCAGATGGCTTCTTGTGGCACTGGTGTCTGCCCTGATCACTGGCTTTGTGTTCCCTTGGTTTCTGAGATCCTATCTGTGTGATGACTACAGTCTCTCTAAAGCCCTGCAGATCCACATAAACAGTGAACTGCTGATGAAGATGGCCTAACTCTTATTTTATTAGCATGCAGACCTCATCGATGATTAATAAAAACATTAAAAAGAAGGCAAGTTATTCCTATAGTGCAAATTTCAGCAACCATTATGTTAAGGCACTTTCTATTGCACTGAGATCAGATCATCGCCACTAACAAGCAAAACGCTCCCTTTAACCAGGAAGGAATGTGTTTAAAGGGTCAAACCAGTAGTTGTTGCTAAAAGCAGAATGGGAGGCAGAGCCTTCAGTTTTCAGGCCCCTCTTCTGTGGAACCAGCTTCCAGTTTGGATTCAGGAGACAGACACTATCTCTACTTTCAAGATTAGGCTTCAAACTTTCCTTTTTGCTAAAGCATATAGTTAGGGCTGGACCAGGTGACCCTGGATCCTCCCTTAGTTATGCTGGTTCTGCCAGAGCTTCCTTCCTGTTGAAAGGAAGCTTTTCTTTCCCACAGTCCTCGTTCACAGGAGGTCGTGTGACTGTCAGGATTTCTTCCTAATGTTGTAGAGTCTTGATTTTACAATGTAAAGTGACCTGAGGCGACTGTTGTTGTGAATTGTTGCTATATAAATTGACCTGAATTGAATGCAGCTGAAGGCGTCCTACATATTTGTGTACTTGCTGGTGGTGTATTCCAGTCTCTGTGGTATAATGTTGTGATCGCTGGTATGGAACGCTGCACTGAAGTCTAACAGGAATGAGTCCACTGTTAGAGGATCAGTTTTAGAGCAAATGACAACAAGTGAACAGTAAGTTACAACTACCTCTAAAATCATGAATACAGATCAGTTACATGAGACATCGGTTATTATTCCATCCGTCGTGTTACTGGAAATGCCCAAAGACATATCTGCTGGATTCAGACGTGTTGAGAAAGTTTGATTCCCTCTGGCTGAGCAGGGTGCGCCAAAACAGTTTGGTTCTTAACCAGCGTACTTCTGTGTGATACACAGAACATGAACTTTCCAGTGAGCCCAACCTGAGATTTTAAATTTAATATTTTTAGATATTTTCGATTCAAATATCAAATAGTATTTTATTTCTTTAAATAGGCCTCTTCAGCTGACTTTCATGTGTTTTTTTAGTTTTGCACATTGGAGTTAGAGGCAATACTTGAATATGAATATCTAAAAACAATTAATGGAAAACTGAACATTTCATTTCTCTTTCTTACTATCACATTAAATCAGGATGAGTAATTTAGGACAGATACTTTACATTGTTAGTCTTAGTGTTGGTTTGTTAAAATATAAAATCCTGTGAAGTGAATATTTATGTACACTCAAAATAATAAAAAAAACCTGTTTAACATGAAGAAAATGTCACGTTCACTCTACGTTTGAGCTGTGGATTCCAGCAGATTTTAATGTGTGAAAAAGGTGGTCGGTACCTGGGTTCATAGAATATTTTATATATTAAGCATTTAATGTCTTTCACAGAATTATATATATATATATTAAAAATATATATATATTAAATTTAAATATATATATATTAAAATATATATATATTTATATACATATATATACACATCTCTTCTAACTTTGCACCATTAAATGTTTGTGGAAATCAGAGACCATGTAGTCAAAGTATTGATTTGACAAAGAATTAAATAAATATTGACCAAATTATTTTCTTAGTTATGATTAGAGTACCCTCTGCATACTCCAGTTTAGACTATCTACTGTTTTTTTTTTTATTTGTAGTACAACTTGTGGTATTTACACAACCCAGCATGAAATTTGAATGAAAATACCATGTTTGTAACTTTTATAACTAAGAATTCGATGTTAAAATGAAATATATATTTTCTTTTGCACCATCCACACACTGTCACTTTGTGTCTTTTGCGATGTGAAGTTTTGTATTTAGTGTGCACTCCAATATTGGGCAGCTTGATTTTGTTTCTTCATAACTAGTCAGTATTTAGACATTGTTAATGCATTTGCCCCAAACTACCGGTCCTGGAACAAAAGGCAAGTGAAGAATTCTGTATTTTATCTTTAATAGTTTTTGCGACTGTGATGTTCAGAGCTGCATTTGCAGACCATTTTCCAAAAAAAGCATATATCTTGAAAAGTATTTGAGATATGATGCTAACATTTCACAGCAATTTATTCAGACTCTGGACCATAAAACATTTGGGCAAACTGACGAGGGTTCAGCTGAATAAATGTTATAAAATTTTGATGATTTTAGATGGAAGGACTCAGTTCTCCAAAATGACAAATATGCACATATTTAACAAAATATTTTCTGAGTTGTGTTAATGCCAGAATTTTATGCAATTTGGATAATAAGTGACAGTGTTATGTTGAAAACACATATTAAATATACAGATGTAGGTTTCTGTCATTAAAGAAAACGTGGCATCAGCTCCTTAAAGCCTGTGACCAGTCGTTCTGTCAGACTTCCTATTTCTTCTAACCTTGGTGCCTCTGAGAGGTCAGGCGCCACATTTCTGGGAGGGTTAGTTCCCTTGCTCATTTCCCATGCCAATTCAATGTGGTCTCATCCAGAGGCCAGCAATTATTTCCCTCAGCCTGCCCAAGGTACACTGCTGCTTTTGTTCCTCGTCAGCTCTGAATACGGTCCCTGAGCCAGACAAACCTGTAGAGTACGTTATCACAAGTCTTTGTGCTGGTGCTTAGCTTCCCTTCTATCTGCTCCATCTCTACCCACTGCAAACATAACAGCTCTTTAAAAAACCCACTTTATTATATGTAAAACTCTTACCATCTGCCATTTGTGGTCAAATTGAAATATGACTCTGGTCTTTGAGGCAAAGCTTTTCTTTAGTCTGAACAAAGCTAATGACTCAGAAAATGTGCTGAATAATTACTGTGCATGTAAGGTATAGACTGAGCGTTTCTATTATGTTTTGGGCTGTCAAAGTTTGACGAGAACATGCCTGGTGTTCATGTGAATACAGTCTGGCACAACCACAGATGGGAGGTGAGAAAGACATCACAGGAACGTATGGGTGTTTAACCATGATAACTGTCTTTTACACCTGCTGCTGAAGACTCCCAAACTCAGCAAGGTGATGTTTCCAAATCGCCATCAAGCCAAAGCAATAACCACATAAACAGTCACTCTACTCGGATGACACAGAGCATGGAAGCTGCTGTGGTTGGCAGCTGCTACCAACATTATTCTTAATTTGATTTTGGGAATTATTGCTACATTTAAGTTAAAAATGCTCGATCAGTAATGCAGAGTAAAATGCAAAATGATCAAGAAAACCATCCTGTAACTTGGCTTTTCTGTTCACTGCCATCCCTGTAATAACAGCTTGGACTTTTAATCATATACTGTACGTCCCAGCTATGAAGGACAGAACTGCATTTTAATATGCACGAATTACAACCTGCATTTAGAAACAATTAGCTTTCTCTCATTCACAAATTTAGACACATGTGTAATTAATATTAGAAATTAGTGAAATCATTCAGATATTAAATATATCGTTTCTAAATCATAACATTAGCCGTTAGGACAAAATGCTGATTCCTGTTTTTTTAGATGTTACATTTCTTACAGTGTTTTTGGTTTGTTTGTTTGTTTGTTTGTTTGTTTGTTTTCGGGTTTTTGTTCAAAAACAAATCCATACATTTTAATGTCAAACAGAAAACAATGAGTGTCTGTATAATCCAGACAAGTCGATATTGTTTGCTATGAGCACCCCGCACCGCAGCCATGCAGTCACACATTCCCATACACCAAATAATAAACCCAAACACTGTTTAAAACCTGCAGTTTGATCCACACTGAAACATTATAGAACAGCGATGTTTACAAAACCCTGAGACTGCTTTGGACATTTGTCCAAATACTGAAAGCTTAAATTCACGGCACGCACCGTGTGCGTTTGTGGGTTCTGTCACCTTCTTTTTGACTCGGTTATTTAATGGCAAAGGGAATAGTAAGAATAGCTTTAGTGTTTTTAATTTGGACTTTTCTTAAAACAAGTAGAATTTTTTCTGTTGCGGCCACGTTATGGCACCGTGTGCAGTGCCCAGTGTGGCCGTGTCTCTTAAAACTTCATCCAGCTATGCGTACAAATGAAGATACACGCGGCACATTTTAGACGGAAGAAGATTTTAAAGGTCGGGCGTTTTGTTAGGCTGGAGATGTTTAGCGGTGCACTTTGCGCTGCAGCAGGTAGCAGAGTATACGTAACCTGACACAGCATCTGCACTAACATGACACCCAATTAACCACAGTCTATCCATCCAGGCATTTAACCAGAGCTGATGTGTGTCCGCTCACAGAGAAACACGCGTCAGACGTGCAGGTAAACTCCTTATTGTCATTTTGTTTGTTGATTCCGACAAACAAGCGACAGACCAAACGCCTTGGGGTTTTTTTCTTTCTTTTTTTTACTTCAGTTAAGAAAGTTACACAAAAGGTGGCAAGTTTGTTGACAATAAATAATAAATAATCTTGCTGCACGGGAACAAACAAAACATTTCCTTCCGGAGCTAACAGTATTTTTTAAGTTATTATTAATTTACACATCTTTGGGGAAGAAAAAAAATGTTGGACGGACACTAACTCGCACAAATGTCCCACGAAGCTTGTGGCAAAATAGAGGTATACCTTGTTGCAAATGCTTTAGTACTTGGGTCTTTAAGAAAATCATGTAGTTAATGGAGAACCCCCGCCCACACCCCACACAGTCATTTATTATATGACTATATGACGAGGTGCGTGTGTCGAATTAAAAAAACAAAAACACAGTTTCTATTGAAAGTCGCGTGCGGCATGTCGCGAGTACAGAGAATCTCGAGCTCTCTCCTCGCCGCCGGGTCCCGTTCATCGGTGAAGCCAGCTTCATGCCTTCTCTGTTTGGCAAACGGGCAGCACCGACCGACCGCGAGGACTCGTCGCGTTATCTCCTCTGGACGTTAGAATGTGTGACTGTGGTAAATCCCATGATTGTCTTCACAGTGTCAAAATACAACCAGGGGGTTGCTTGGTGCAGTCGAGAAGGGTGATATGAAAGGGGCTGTGTGTGTCTGTCCACGCAGCGCCGGCTCAGGCCTCGATGGGGCTGGAGACCATGCTGTTCGGCGTATCTGGAAGCTGAGACGACATAGACGCTACTTCGCTGCCCGTCGAGTTCGAACCCGGTCCTCCCTCCGAGAAACTCACCTGCAGAGCACATTAAGCGAACCTTTAAAAGCATAGCTGAAACTTTTACACGTGCACACTAAAAGGCCTTGGATTACATCTACTAATGGGCAGGTCAGTGCTGCTGCTCAGGGACGCAGTTCAGCCTGTGTGTCAGCAAAGTTTCCAAAGGAAATCCGTCCGTCAACGTCACTGCAACCATCGACGTCATAATAATAATAATGATGATGATGATAATAATAATAATAATAATAATAATAATAGATTTGTAGTCTACTGCTTTACAATTGCGCGATAAAAGAAGCGGAACGAGGATGGCATGGTGTTCGCTTTTACAGGTATTTGAAAGTCTGTTAATTTGAGAGTAAACGGAACCAAACGGGAAAAACACAAAATGCTTTAATTTTATTTAGAAAGCTGGTTTACATCGTCCGGGTGCGCTGCACGTGTCTTTGCCGTGTGTGGCCGGTGTGGAGAACAAACACTGCTGGTCTTTCGGGTTACCCACAGCCTAGTGTCTGTGCGCTTAAGCGCATCTGACCATACTCCCTCGAAATTTTACAGGTTTGAAATAAACGTAGAAAACGTAGCGTCAGTGGTCATAGTGGTTATGTGTCCATGCTAATTCAATATTCTTCAATCAGATAAGAATTATATATATATATATATTATATATATAGATAGAGATATATATATATAGATAATAGATAGATATATATATATATATAGATAGATAGATAGATAGATAGATAGATAGATAGATAGATAGATAGATAGATAGATAGATAGATAAGGAACCTAGCAGTGCTCGCAAACGACACACACTATTAAAAAAAACAAAAATTTGTTCAGAGCAGCTGCTGAATGTCCTCAAAAACTGAAATCACAGCACTTTTGATATCAGCAGTGTGTTAATGTCTGAGCGCGAACCAGGAAATCACGAACCAGTTGTTGGAAAGCAGGCTGGTCGATGTCGCTCTGCAGCGCGAAGTCGCTGAGCACCTTCCAGGGCGGCTGGTAGCTCTGCACCTCCACCGGGTTGGCTTGGATGCCTCCGTCGTGCCGCTCCGGGCTGGCTGCCACCATCGGGGTTCCCGTCATTCCCTGGATGTTCTGCAAGAAACGGAAGCATCCTGCTCAGCACCACGCACAGTTACTGGGAGAATTACACGCGAGGGGGTGCTGCCGTGTAAACTCACGTGCACGATTGCTCAATCAGCAGAACAATCAATCACATTATGTCTGTATTTCACATAAATATAGACGTGTGTGTGTGTGTGTGTGTGTGTGTGTGTGTGTGTGTGTGTGTGTGTGTGTGTGTGTGTGTGTGTGTAAAAACTGCTTGACCTCAGAGCCCGGGTGAGCTCGTGCACAGTCCTTCTTGCCTGTCACGGAACTTCTGATTTGAACTTGATGAATAAATCTGCTCTGAGGCCTTTCTGGGACTGACACCTTGATTAATGACGGAAGCAGCCTGCCGACCACGGTGCCACATCACGGGCCTCTTTGACACACGGGGTGTCAGTGGATCGTGTGTGATCGGGTGTGTGGGCTGGTGATCGCGTTAAGCACCTACCGTCTTGTCGCTGGACTGCTGCTGTTGTAGCTGCTTCATGAGTTGGCTTCTCTTCTTGTCTTTGCACCGCTTATTCTGGAACCAGACCCGGATCACTCGCGGGCTGAGGCCGGTCATCTCCACCAGCTGCTCCTTCATTAGAGCGTCGGGCCTCGGGTTGGCGTTGTAGCAGGTCCGCAGCGTGTGCAGCTGCTTCTCGTTCAGCACCGTCCGGACCCGGGTGGTCTTCTCGGGCTGTTTATGTACGTGAGGCCGCAGAGCGGGCTGACGGGCAGAGATTGGTTCTGCTGTGGAAAAAAGTGAAAAACATCCGATCAAATGAAACACGTAGACTCCAAACATGGACACGCGAGCGCGCGGACAGGACTCCCTTTAATTCCTCTCCACACACGTATGCTTCTTCCACAATTTTGTGAATTCTGAATCTCTTTCAGCATCTTGTAGAAATGTTTTTCACTTGGTAACATTAAAAAACGCGCGGCTGTGGTCCCTGAGCATCAGAGAACCTCAGAACTGCGCTCACACATCCAGAGAAAAGCTGGCCTTTGGAAAAGACGCTTTTTCGTTATTTAATTAGCTTCCGGTCTCATTCAATATTCGATTAATATGTGGAAGAACACTCTGACATATCGGAACCAAAGCCATTATTTGTTACAGCAGGAAAGGAGCAGGCTGCCCAAAGCCATTAAAACATTGATAGGAATAACCAAAACTATGAGAAGGACCAGCAGCCGTGTTTACTGATCCCCCCCCAACAAGAATAATTGGACTTTTTCGGACAGAAGCGCACCTCAGGCCTTTCTCTAATCGTCCCACAGTCTGCAGAAAACAAGTTACACCAGCCAAAAGCATGAGCAGACAACAGGTCCACTAAAATAAGGCCAACAAACCAAATATGACAGCAGAACAGTTCCACTCTCTGTGGCAGGAGGGACAGGTTCCCTTCGATGGAAACGCATTAAACACAGATCAAACATGGGCAGTAAATCCCTCTGATATCGCAGCCTGCGTTTGACAAATTTGAAGCGCAAGAAACGAAATGTCTTTCATTTTTAAGGACTACAAAAATAAAAAATACAGGAAACACCAAAGTCAGCGTTGAACACACCGTGTGAGCTGAAGTGCCGGTCTGCAGCAGCAGCAGTCCTACCTGCCATCTGCAGCGGTCTGGCGGGGTGCAGGGGGCTCAGCGGGTCCCCGGGGCCCAGGCTGGCCCGTTCCACAACATCGTGGTCTGCTCGACAGAAGAGCCCGTCTTCTCGCAAAGCAAATTCGTCCCCCGGGATGAGCTGCCGACTGCAGGCCACGCAGCGGAAACACTCAATGTGGTAGACCTTGGAACGGGCCCTCATAACGAAGTCGTTCTTGCTGAAGCCGATGTTGCATTTAGCGCATTTAATCCCGTATAACCTGCGAGGCACACACATGCAGGGCTGGTCATTCACACGGCACACAGCTCGGCCACTACACACTGATGATAATAATAATAATAATAATAATAATAATAATAATAATAATAATAATAATAATAATAATAATAATAATAATAATAATTACTTATTTGTAATAATTACAAAACGCCCGAGATGTCCACATTTTAATTTAAATTATTATTATTATTATTATTATTATTATTATTGCTGCTGCTGCTTTTGTGATTATTATTACAAATATAATTAAATAAAACTATGAACTTGTAAATGAGCTTGGTGAAGTTGAACAGGAATTGTGACAGAGTGAGCTCTCTGCTGTCTGCACAGAAACGTCCTGCGGGTTCTCGCTCTGTGTGATTTTTCACACTTTGCTCCGGAGTATCCTGCGACCTTGAGTTGTGGTCTGGATGAATTATATTGTTCCAGAACGTTAAACCACGTCTTATCACCGCATTACGAAATGCTGGCGCTACTTTCTACATAAGCTGCTGTATCAAGTAACTGTGATTCTGACACGTCAAATGAAATGTGCCCGGTGACAAAGGGACTCCAGGGAGAGTAAACGAGTCCGCATCATCTCAACTTGATCTTGTAAATATCAAAACAACATAATTCCAATTTTCGAGCTGCTCCAGTTCTTCGTCCCGTCCCGGCCGTCCTACCTGATGTAGTCCCGTTTACAGTAAGTCTTTCCATCCCTGACGAAGCACGTGCAGGACTCGTCCAGGTACTGGCTGCACTCGGCACACTTGAGACAGGCGGCGTGCCATTCAAGGTCCGGAGAGACCCGCAAGATATACTGGTCGTGGATCTGGTTTCCGCAGCCCACGCACAGAGACACCAACCGCTTCTCTGGAAGGGCAACAACATAAGAACACATGAAACACTCTTTAGCACACCAATTATTATTATTATTATTATTATTATTATTATTATTATTATTATTATTATTATTATTATTATTATTATTATTATTATTTTTATTATCAAGACTACTATATAGGAGGTAACACAGCTTTCATATAAATATATATATATATATATATATATATATGCGTGTGTGTGTGTGCCGAGTTTAATAGGGGAAAGTCATATACTGTGTTTGCGGAGATCACCACGTAACCAAGTCAACTCTTAGTTCTGAAGAATTAAGTTCCAGCATGGATCCAACATCGAACACATGTCTTACTTTTCGGCGGGTCCCCCATGTCTCCCATGTCCACAAAGTAAGGCGACGTTAGGTCCACTGTCACAGCGGGCTGCGGAGCCTGGAAGCCTGGGTAAGTCCTCCGCTGCCGGGCTGCCGGACCAGGAGCTGCACTGTCCGGCTCGGATAGGGAGTGTGTGTACGTGTGTGTTTCCAGTGTGTGTGCAACTCTGACAAGCGACGGGGCTGACGTAGGACATCAGCACGTCATCTGCATGAGCAGCTGATTGGCTCTGCAGACCCTGACCAGCACACGCACACGCACACACACACACACACACACACAACACACACACACACACACACACACACACACACACACACACACACACACACTTATTGCTGCATATCAATTGTTTCTCAGCTTTGCTTTGCCCTCTTCTGATCTGTTCATTTTCTCTCATTTTATTCTAGTTTGCAGCAAAGCTGCTTATTGTTCATATAGCTAATCGTTACGGTATATTATTTCAGTAAAGGAAAGCCTCACATCACTGTTACCGTCTCTGTGATGGAACATATAGCAGGCCACAGCGAAAAATCGCCGGGCGCGCACTGTTGAATACGCTCATAGATTTAAAGCGATTATCAGTGTGCAGTTAGATCCACAATTATATTGCACCTCGTGGGAGATATGTATTTAGAATATGTCTGTCTAACTGTCCGTGGGCTGTCTTTGCTGTTAACACAACTGTGCGTGGGCGTAAACTTTCTTTTCTTTTAAATTCCTCGAAATGGGAAATTCAGAAAACAGCTGTGCGGCCAGCTGTTAGAAACAGAAAGCAATTCGAACTTGCACGTGAGAGTTCTTTACACAGACAAAAGTAACGCAACGAAAACTAACGAAAGATACGAGCAGACGCATCCAGCTTCGGTGTTCAGCAGAAAGCCCGAAATCTGACAGGCCGGGACCCTCGAAGCCGCCCAGACACACACCAACACGCCCTCTTGTGTTAGTAAGTAACTACTAACGCCGCAAACACAGCAGGAGTGGACACATCACACCTGCAGCAGCCTCCACAACCACGCTAGAATCTGTCGTGGAAATGAATTGTGTCATGCTACCGTCAAACTAATGTAGTGGCGGGCCAATAACATTAAACATTCATTATTATTATTATTATTATTATTATTATTATTATTATTATTATTATTATTATTATTATTATTATTATTATTATTATCAAAACAAAAAAAGAAGAAATTCCCAAAATTGAAACGAGAGGAATTCTTCTCTTAGCTCTGTGGAGACATCATAAGACAGACTGATGATTGAGACAATCTACAGTTTAGCAAAATGTCCAAATGCAAATACAAGAACAAATTAACACAAACAATTCGTTTTATTATATGAAATGACTGTTTTCAGATTTCCCTTCATTGTTCTCCATCACCATCATTAAGCCCAGAATGAGGGAATATTTTCTGGAAGAATTTTATTCCATCTCAAAAGCAGAGATCTAAAAACTTCTGTCAGTATGTGGTGGTGGCATGTTAAGGCCCAGCGCACCTTCCTGAGACACTGTGTGGCTTTTCCATTTATTTCCTGTCTGTGTACACGATGATCCTTATTTGTAACCTTTTAGTGTAAGTACAGGAAGTAACTAAGATTTTATTGTTTCCTGTTGCAATGCTAGTTTGTGTTATTTTTAATACACATGTGATCACTGTCTTTTCATTGTCCACTAAAAACAGAAAGCATTGATACAAAACATTTTGGATTTGCTGATACAATTATGTTACGAGTGATTTATCTATGTCAAACTTATCAAAACAAGATTATATAAATCTGCTGATGCTTAACGATATAAACACACTTGTGTAAATAGTCCTTCTCTTTAACTTTAAACAGAAAAAGTCTCTTTTAAAATTTCACTGTCAGGATATTATTTAGGCTGAAATGTGTCTCTATGGGTGAGCACGCATGCAAAGAATAGTTGCTGATTTTAGCCCCACAGTCAATAGAGTAGACTGTGTAATGTAATTGTAATATTAGTTGTAAAATCAAAATTTCCATGTGATATATTAGTGATGATGTAAGGAAAAGCAGACTAAAACTGTGTTATTCTTATGTGATTAAGACAATAGACTGAGGTATTATTTCTCCCTCTCTTTGTCCTGTTGTCCCTCCTCACCCAGCGGTCGGGGCAGACGGTGCCCCTCTCTGAGCCTAATTCTGTTGAAAGGGAGTTTTTCCTTCCCACTGTCGCCAAAGTGCTTGCTCACAGGGGGTTGTCTGGGTGTTAGGGTCTGTATTACTGTACACCTTACACTGAGGTGATGGTTGTTGTGATTTGCAAATAAAATTGAAATAAATTAAAATGCGGGTGTGAAAAATCCAGCCTCACCAAACTTTCTAAATAAAAACTTGTTTTTCATCACTTTATCTGGATGAACCTTTACATGAAACATCCACAAGTTTGTCTTTGATGATAATATTAAGGCAATAAGAGGCTGGCTTTGGCCTGACTGATTTGTCCTCCTATCTGACAGTTTTCTTCAGCTTCTTTCAGAAACTCTGAATCATATCTGTCAAGTCCTTCACCCTCATCTCAACCCTGACGAGAACATTTCAGCAGACAGTCACGAGTGTGGGCTGTGGATGCTGTCTGTACTGTCCAGTGGCAAGAGGAGATCTACCTCCCCTGGGTGCCCCCTTGTGCCCCACAGACCATATGGCTTGGCCTGGCCCTCTAGATGGTGTGCTGGTCCATGGACCACCTGAGGCAGCAGGAGCTCTTATAATCACTGGAGACAAGGGCCACTTGACACCAGGCTGACAGATGGTGCTGCAGCACTGCTGCCCTGGACTACTGCTGCTGCTGTGTGTGTGTTCAGATTGAGAGGCACAATAAGGGTGATGATGTGTCAGGGGTGGTTAAACATGATGGTGGCAGCCCATCTTCTTTTGTCTCTAGGGCAGCCATAGCCGCGGGCCATGACTGCAGGCAAATTTCATCACATATAAGGAGCAGAGCCTAAACGACAGAGCAGCTCCACGCTGCCGCGCAACATCCAGGAATAGTATCTGTTTCCACTGTTGCAGTTACAGAAAAACAGGAACTACTGTTGGTCAGGCAACTCTGGAGTTCCAAGAAGGAATGTTACACACGTTCCCACTGAATGTAAGATGTTATTATTTGTTATGAATGATATTATTTCGATTTTTGTGTGGAAAAAATCCAAATAATATACGACTGTCCTTCAGTTCACTTGCATGCTGTAATCAGAGCTTATAGTTGCTTTTAATGTTAACTTCTCCAATCCCACCACCAGAAGTATAAATACTGCAATGAATGCAGAATTCAAAATTGCATGTGGTGTCATGTTTAAAGCTGTAGCAACTACAGTACGTCAGTAATACACTGGGCCACAGTTTAGCCTTCAACATGGAGACAACATGGAGATTCTACAGTATATCGTAGAGCACAGGATGACATACAAATACTCGCTTTTTCTTAATATTAAATCACTATAATGAATCTTTTGCTTGTATTTTTCAGTTAAAACACCCTGTGCCCAGGCTTAACTCACAGCAGCCCTCCTTATTTCTTTTTCTTAGTCATTGTAAAGATGATCTTTTTAGTAGATTTTATTCATTCTTGTTTACATGTATTTAAAATGCTATAGGAATAAAGATAACTATTAATGTTGTTTCCCTTTAGTTGCATGTTACCTGCTCCTTCCATGGAAAAATTATACCTGCTACACCATAAAAAACAACATATAAAATCTACACAATAATTTGAGGTAACAGTTTGTACTTATTTTAAATGAGTGAAAAATTGCACTCATTTGGACTATTTGGATACATTTTACTACATATTTCTAGTAAATAGCAATAGGAAATACAGGGTTTAAAATACTAAAAGAAATAAGGTCCCTATAATAATTACTCATTGAAACTGATCATTCTAACTCTTCTTTGCAAGTAGACAATAGTTAATTTAATTAATATTTATTTATTGCTGATCTGTTCAGCTAATTAATCTCCATTATTCAAGGAAATGCAGCTTCACACACCAGACGATGACTATGTCAAAGTTTTTAATCCGTAAAATGATCCAAAAACATAAAATGATTTTATTTGCTCTGTAAAGGGTGAAGGTCTATGCAACACTTCCACAGTGGATTTGAAGACTTTCTTTCCCCCTCAAACAGTCTTAATACCATTAATGACTTCCTCCCCTCACCCCGCCGCTCACAGCAGATGGCCGCCCCTCCCTGAGCCCGCTTCTCTTGGAGAGTTTTTCCCATTAAAATATTTTTTTTCCAACTGTTGCCAAAGCGCTCACTCGCAGAGGTCATATGATGGTTGGGGTTTTCTCTGTTTTCTTGTAGGGTCTTTACCTTACAGTATAAACCGCCTTCAGAGAACTTTTGTTGTTATTTGCTGTATAAATAAAATTGAATTCAGTGTGCTACTTTGAAGAACTGGATCACAAAACAGTTCTGTCATAAACAAAATGACCTTTGGGGTAGGTGAAAGGACAGAAGGCAAGAAGGAGGTGAAGGGAACGGAGGAAAGGAGAGGAGATAGAAGGAGAGATAGGAGAGAGATGAGAACTCTGTCTGTGAAACTTTTTTATAAGTATTCATTTAACTGTTTCAACTCCATTAGGGTTAGGAAGCACAAATGCTGCATTGAGAGATTAAAAAACAACAGTAAGTCCAGATGTGCAAATTGATTGAACAGCAAAGTAGAAGTGCAATGATTACTCTCCTAGACTAATCACAAAAATCATTTTCCCCACAAATACACGATATTTAGTTTAGTTCCTGAAGGAGAAAAAAATCACTTATTTTAAAACCCAGAATCAGAGTTCTTAGACTCTTTTACATTTATGCCGATGAATTGAATATAAGAATTGTTGACAATGGAGAATCAGTTATTTGATAGATTGTTGCACCTCTACAATAATGAATATCTTTCTCTGGAACTGGATGACAAAAGAAAACCAAAATACAAGACACAGCATACTCACAGGTCGAGCCGAAGGGTGGATTCAAGGAGTGAACTCGGAAACATGAGTTTGAAGTGACTTTATTTACAGCATCTAAACAAATCTGAAAATGAAGGGAAAAGGGTATTAGCATTTTAGAGTGAATGAGAGAAATGAGTGAGACGCACAAAATAATTGTAGCACTTACCTGTCACACTGGTA